AAAAAAAAAAAAAAAAAAAAAAAGAAAGAAAGAAATGTCAGAAAAAGAACAAGAACAGCTGAACTTCATTTGGGTTTCATCAAACGAAGAACTCCTATGAGTTCGAATGTGGTGTTTAAATGCGAACACAACCACACCCCCAGTTTTAAGCGGGTTGCGGCTTTATTACATTATTTTATCGTTCCTCCTCAAAGATCTCGGTTTGCTTTTCAAGCGAAGTTCGACTATGGTTTTAGGTCAATATCAAATATTAATGTTATCTAATATTTTGTTATAGTTCCACCATGGCACTTTGCCGTTGTCGTGAAGACTTTTAACACCTATAATAGTAATTTCGCATAACCCACACACTACCCACGTGGGCCCATATGTAAATCGACTCACTTATCGTGAGGTTTGCGCATTACTGCGAGAGTTTCCCCCACATCCCACAGTTTGTGGTAGAAGCGCAAGAATACAAGCTGGATTGTTGTCTTCTTCCGCCTTTTTACTGTTTTTGTTCATCCAGTGTTTGAGTGTCATATGTGTGTGTTGTGCCATGTTCTGCTGTTTGTCCCTTTAGGGATTGCCTGGTCTCCCTACGCTGGCTGCTTTGCACAGCAATCAGATCCTGACTGTCAAGGTTTGTCTGTGGTGGTGCTGCCTCGCTGCTGGGTCCGACCCCCTCTGAAGCACACACTGGCCGCTTCCCTTAAAGTGTGATGATTGAGTATTTACCAGCCAAAACCCTGTCAATTGTTTTCCTCTCTGCCCTGCTGTTGCTAGCAGGCTCTCGCTTAACATAGCTCTGCTCCTTTTTACATCCCAGATCCTCCGCTGAGAGCAAAGGTGGCCTTTTACAGCCTTGTAATATGAAGTTAACTGGAACAGACTCTGTATCCTGAAACCAAGACATGGTTTGGCTCATGTCCATTGACACTGAAATGAATGGAAGGAGCTCTAAAGGGAATACTCAATTATGACCAAAAGTGGCAAATTGTTTTTTTTTTTTTTTTTATAGCTCATGCTCATGGTTCACCACACAGCCTCCTAACAACCAATTTGGCCTTTATAATTGTTTCATCGATGGCAACGCCGATGGGCGCGAGCAGAATAATGCAAGCATTGACAGACGGAAGGTATAAAATCAACCTCAGCCCAGAAGGTTGACCCATGCTGGTTTCAGTGTGTGTAGCTCACAGGGTTTGACTTGGCAGCAGGCACGATGATGATGGCGGTGCTTTCACAGACAAGGAGCGATTCCCATTTTTCCAAGGGGCGGGGGGCGGGAGGGGGGGGACTGTGAACCCACTTCACACTCCAGAGGTGGTAATTAGGGGCTCCAGCTCCAAAATGCAACCCCAGACTTCCGCAGCAAGTCACCTCGGTGTTGGAAAAGTGTGGATTCCCCTCCATCTGTGAAGGCGCTGTTTTTTTGGGGGGGGTTTCGTGAACATGGGACTCCCTAACAAAAATCTGTTTCTCTTTGCATTTGGCTTCTCATCCTCCTCCTCCTCCTGCTGCTTCTTCTTCTGGGACCTTCTCCTCCTTCAACCTTCTCTCACCTCTGAACTCCGACTTCTTGACCTCACACACCTGCTCAGATGGTCTTCCCAAAGATCAATCATGGCTTTCTTTCCGCTGACCAGCAGCTCATAAAGCGTCGGCTCATTAAGGTAGTGGGTGTGTCCCTCTCTCTTGTCTCTTTGTCTACTGTGCCAAAGTGTCACCGATTCACTTCTCTCTGTCTAGAGCATGCCAGCCTGTAGATTCTGTCATATGCACCCTCATGCTCCCTTCTGTTCCTGCAAAAGCTAATAAGAAAATGTCCTAATAGATGCTTGGTAAAGTGAAACGAATTACTGTCTTGGCATTAATAAAAAGGAATTTCCCCCGCAAGTTAAATTGCTGGATATTTTCTCAGAATTTCTCCTAATTGAGTAAAATTATGGACCACACATTTTCAGTATTTCTCTCTTGATTATTGAAACCCTTCGCTGACAAATGTGACCTTTTTCCAGACTGTGCTTAAATGCGCAGTCCACTTAAGATTGCATGCATCTCAAGTAAGTTGAGCAAACTTTAAACCATTACGTTAAATCTCCTCGTTGTTGTTTTATGCTAGCTCCAAAATGCAATCTTTCCTCCTAATTACGAATGGAGGTGGGCCATAGCCACCCACGAGATCATTACACCATTTCCTTTGTCATCATTTAACTGCAGTTGCTTCTGTCTTGGTTGATCCAACAATATCACATAGGACTGATGTGGAAATGTACTCTTTTTGTCATACAGGGAGATCAAGGCCAGGCAGGACCACCCGGGCCTCCAGGCCCACCTGGCCCTCCAGGACCAAGGGGCCCTCCAGGGGACACTGGAAAGGATGGACCCAGAGGTTTGCCGGGTCTACCAGTGAGTATTGGGTTTTGATAAGACGAGAAGCTTGACAAACTTGAACTAAATGCAGTTTTGCAACCCTAACTGACCCCCTTTCTTTAAAATTATTTAAGTTGGAGGACAAGACTTTCCAAAGACCTTTTAGATGTAAAGGGTAGAGAAATAATGGCAAGATTTTTTTTTTTCAGGATATACTTGCAATTTAAGGACTATATAAGACTTTCTCCATTAAAGTACTTTTACAAATACAAAATCCACTGTAAACTGTTGTAATATTTACTCCAATTTATCACTTTTGGTGTCTTTGGTGATTATCCATGTTGATGTCATTGATAAATGTGGAAAAAAAAAATTGGCACCGCGTCTTTACATACAAGGAATGAGTTACGGGTCTTCTTAAAGGAACTGCTAGGATTTGGTCACTGGTGTCCGAGTGGCTCTGTTATTTCTGGAATTACATTATGTTACTTCAGCATCCTCCGTTCTGAATTTCAACACCTGCTAACAATGTACGAAAAGCTTCAAAATACACGTCTTTTTTTATTGCAGTATCAGAATCTCAGAGTGAAAATATTGGGAAAAAAAAACTAATTATACTTATTTAGTGTGAGAAGAAAACAGATGTTCATAAATATTCACTATCTGCGCTGGACCCTTTCTAGTCTGGGGACTGAGATGGCCTTGAAAACATTGATTTTGTGTCTGGTGAACCGTTCTTGTGCTGATTTGGCCAGATGTTTGTGATTATTATCCAGTTGTTTTGTGTTTTCTGGCAGAGGTCTCCCAGTATTTTAAAGAGAACAAAATTCCTAGGACCGTTGGAGCAACTCGCAGCATCTCATTTTCTCCACCTTATTTAAGAGTGGGCATGAAGAGCTTTATCACCAGTTCATTCCTTCGTTTCACGCCACATGGAGTGTCTGGCAGAAGAAAGGACAATCTCAGGCCTAGTTTACACAGAATTAGGCTTTTTTTATTGAAGCCGAAACATTTTTGTTGTGATCCAACTGCTCATTTACACGTCAACAGTGATTGGAGTCTCTGACACTGGCACTTTTGCACAGACAGATGTCAGTAAAAAAAAAAAAAAAGTATGCTACCTACTTTTATATATATGTTTTAGATGAGCACTAAAGTCCCCCAGCGCCACACTGTGCCCTAGCATGACGACTCCAGTGGACTCAAGGTGTCCCGGTACCGTCCTCTAAGCGGTGAGGAAGTGCCATCTAAACATGGAACTGTTCCCCAATCAACATCCGAAAATACCAGCAGTTTCCAGACAGCGGTCTCGTATAAACAAAGCCTTCGTCTCATCTAATCATAGGACTTGGTTCCAATTAAAACTCCAGCGGAGATTAGCAAATTACACATGTTTAAGTTTTTATGGAAACTCTCTTTTGTGGAATGCTTTTGAAACGAGTGGCTGGCATTAAGATAACATCTAAATGAATGCTATCTGACCTCGTGAGCCTAAGATACCGCTCGTTGCTGCAGCTTTGTAACAGTGAGCGTTTGAGATTTTCTTTTTTGCTTCTGTCTGTGCATGGCGGCAAAGTAAGTTCGGGACCTTGTCTATCCTCATCGGTCAAAGTTCAATCCATCCATCCGTCTGTCTTGTATGCATGCTTATCAAGGGGGTGCTTGTGCCTGTCTCCAGAGGTCATAGGGAAAGAGCCAGGGCACACCCTGGACAGGTCACAGGTCCACCACAGGGCAATGCAGAGACGCGCAGGACAAGCAACCATCGCACACACACAAGGACAATTTAGAGAGACCAGTGAACCTAGGTTATGTTGCTGCACTACATGATGAAATTACTCATTATCGAGGCTTCTTGCACAGCATGGAAGGTAATTATATATTATTTTGCAGCAACTTCCAAATTATTTATGCTTCTTCAAAATGAATTATGTTCCTAAATAACTGAAACTACCTTATATTTGTACACAAACACACACCTTAGTGTCAGAGTAGGAATAGATTAATTGGTAAAAAACGGGGTTTCTTGCATGAGCCACTAAAATGTCTTTGGGTCTACAAAAATTGTCAACTTGTCTTTTTCCTCTTGTAGTCTCATCTAATTTGACTTGACCTAGTACTCAGAGGGGGAAAAAAATGCCAGTGGAAACCTTTTTAATGAAGAGTGGAAGAACTGTTTGGCCTTTTTTCTTTTTTCTTTTTTTCCCCCTCAAATATTTATAGATAAAAAAAAAAAATCCCCTTGGGGGAATAGTTTTATTATTACACGGATTTATGTTGGCTCAAATATCTCTGTTTGCAACATAACGTTTTTCATTTCTTCATGCCCGCCACTGGCTTTTTTGCTAATTTACGTGAACCGGGAGAGAAAAAAGGAACAGAAAAAAAAAAAATCTTGTCAGTTATTTTCAGCCATAAAACCTTCTGCAGGCTCCAGCTGATCTTTATTGTGTTGGCAGGAATCTCAGTAGGAGCTCAAATATATTAAGAATTGTTTATGAGGTTATTTCCAACTTTTTTATGGTGATTGTTTTCAGTTCTTCCTGTAGAAGTTGCTAAACTTGTTAAAGTTTTTTTTTTTTTTTGGGGGGGGAGGGGGTTTCCAAGAAGTTACACTTCTCCTCCTAGGTGTCTGTACTTTTCTTTACTTTTAACTGTTGTGAATAACTTAGAAGGAAGGCAATAAGTGCTCTGGATATAAAATTGAATTGACATGTTTCTCAGTGACGTGCTGAAATCTGAAGGAGGTTTGGACCAAAAGCAGAACCCAGAATGAGGTTGTCGGATAGAGACGCGGAACAGGGCAGGTGGTAGAGCAAAACAAAATCCTCCCAGGCAACGTAAATTCTGATTTGTACTATACTATTCTACATATTTACAATCGAGTCCATTTGCATTCACAACTCTATTCAAATAAAATTAAAACTTAATTGATGTGTTTGGATATTTTTAAACAAGCCCACAGTCTTATAATCACTGCCTTTATTTTTTATTATTTTTTTTCTAGGGTGATCCAGGCCAGCCAGGAGAAATTGGACTCATGGTGAGAAATTATTTTACCTTCTAAATTGATTTTTTTTTTTTTTCATACGATTGGTGCAGCACCCTATCTTTGTTAACTTACGAAAGGAGCGCCAGCACTTGGTTTGAAATGTTGTATTTGTTGTAACTGGCCATTCCAGCTCATCCAGAAAAGAGTCATGATGAGGAAGCTCTTCAGCTGTAAGCTCATAATTCAACATCTGATGGGATTGTTGCATTAACTTTAGTAGTGAGGATGAGGAAGCCACTTATTTATCTCAATATCATATCAAGAGCTGCACAAGATTTTTATTGTGGCGTATTTGAATGGATCCGCCATGACGACCAATTTGAGGACATGCTAAGGTTTAGGTTTTATAATCCAGCAACATTTGATGTGTTGAATATCCGTGTGTTCTGAAAAGTGTGATTTTAATATGAAGATGACACTCAACATCTTTGCTTGTAATTCAAGCGCAGAGTGTATTTTTGGTATTTAACAGTTTTCATAGTGGGATCACATGGGTTTGATGTCGATTTTGTTTGCAATTTTTTATTTTTTTATTTTTTATGCAGGGACTTAATGTTAAGGATACGTTTTATGATAACCGATAAAACATTTTCTCTTATGAACCCAAACATATAGGACGAGCCACTAGCCGGCGGACAGCAGGTGGATGCAGCTTGCAGCTAATAAACCTTTTGATTAAAGTCTCCTCTGAAAAGCTACACTGAAAAGGTCAAAGCAAGCTCTGGAAAAAAAAAAAAAAAAAAATCAAAGGAGACCAATTGACTAAAATCACATTGCCGCTGTCGGATTTTTACAGAAGCAGAAACGGGAAACGATCTCCTTTTTATCTAGAAACGCATTACCGATGACCTTTCGCTACACTCGACAATGACTCTCCAATGTTTTTTTTGTTTTTTTGTTTTTTTGGCTCCCAAATGTTTTGTTCCCGTCGCCGCTCACACAGTAGCCGCGGAGGTAGCAAAGTTTCTGTGAGTCATGAGTGTAAAACGGCAAAGTGGAGGGTCCCAGGTGTTCTTCCATAAGCCTGAAGTGCTTTTACAGCTGTTTATGACAGCAACAGCTGGAGTTCCTCTCCAGAATGTCCTCTCATAGAGCTCTGCATAGAAGTAATCGCTTCTCTCTGTGACTCTTTAAATAAAGTACAGCGTTTCATGAGTAAATACGCTGCATGACACTGATATACTTTTAACAAGGGATAAAGTCATCATCTGGTAACAAGCCCCCTTGATCTAAATCAGCAGGAGATCAGCACGAACCAGCTGTTGTTGTTGGGGGACGGGGGCAAATAGATGCGACAGTACATTTACGATGTCAGAAAGTCTGTTTTTTTTTTTTTTTAAGTCAAATCCTGATTGCTTGCTACTGCGTTAGGTCTATGAGTAAAAATGAGATTTTGGATTAGTGGAGATACTCCTGTTGTAGGTTGTGCGCGTTTTCGACTCGAGAGAGAGCATAGAAGCTAACTTGTCACTCAGGAACAAACCTCGCATCCATCCTTAAATCTGAGGAATTATGTGTTCTCAAGCATTTGGAGCTGAGGATTAAAAAGGATCGTCTCCCATTCCTCCCAAGGTTCAAGATTCCACAAACATTTTTTGCCTCCCCCGCAGTGCTCTAGGAGCAAGACACTTAATTTGACATGGCAAACCGTTTTTAATGTAGATGCCCTTGTTAAAGAGGCAAAAGTAGAATCCAGAGTTTTCCAACAGCCTTTTACGACATGTGGTGCTGGTTAGGGGGATTAAACTCTTGTGGTGCAACAAGGAAAAGGAGGAAGAGGACGAGGAGGAGGAGGAGGAGGTGGCAAAACGACAAAGGAGAAAAAAAAATATTTTTAGAACTCAAAGGTTGGAAATGATCAGTGCCACAAACTTTTTTCTGGAGTAAATTAAAAAAGGTGTTCTGCTCTCTGGGAAGGTGGCTTTCAGTCTTTGCAAAAAAGTATTTATTTGGATCGTGACTTTGCTTGGAAAAGATTAAATGAGACTGTAGAGACTCCATCCATAACTGGAACCCCCCCACCCCCTAATTTTCATTGTGGTGTTATTTCCAGTTTAATTCCCCTTTTCATCCTGTATCTTTCCAAAGTTTACCCACATTGCTTGAGTAACTTTTCCAATATGCCTTTTTTTTTTAAGTAAGGACACACTCATTACTTGTTGATGTCTTTAACTACTTTTTTATCTAATGTTCATGCACAGCAAGAGCAGAGATGTTTTGAAATTGCTTGGAAACAAACCAGTGCATCTGGCAAATATTCAGTCAACCACTTTCGGATGTTTGCACAGCCATGTTTAAACTATTCATCGGTGTTTTTATTAACTTGAACCTACAAAAACACAATATTAGTTTTTGAAGCAGACTGTTCTGCGTTTATTGAAACTACAACAACGTATTTAAAAAAGCATTAAAGCAGCTGATTTCATTAAAACTTATTCCCATGTTTGAAAACAAAACTAAATTAATTTCCATGTCTTTAAAGTTTAAACCTGTGGCTTGAAAGTTACACACATACATTTCATCAGGTCGTAATTAGCTACAAATGCGACATTTGTTGAAATAAACATCTGCTGGGTGCAATTTACCACAGTCGCGACGAAAATGTGTCTTGAGATGGAAATGTGAGTTATGGACTATTGGATATCCTGAAATGATGTCCAGAAATGAGTTGAAACTGCCATTTCACGCTTGTTTGGATTTTAAACGGCCTATTAGCGCCGTTTGTTTTTATCCACCCATTCAGACCACAACTTCCTGTCCGTGTTATTCTATTAATTTGAAGCTGAAAACTTTAAGAACCACCGATTTAACATCTTGGACTAACCAAAATATACAGAGTAACTGGCCCTCGCAGCCCTTGGAGAAATCGCAGTCTGCTGTGTTAGCATAACATTTTACCCAGGACTGTCGTCGCATCATCATCAAGCTCTGCAAACTGGAGTCTAATGAAACTTCAAATTTCAAATCTTTGCCTCAGTTTAGGTTGTTTTTTTTTTGTTTGTTTTTTTTTTTTTTCTTAAAACCGCAATCTATTTAGCAGTCACTGCACAATCAGGTCATTACTTCAACTTTCAGGGTAGGTAGACCAAATAGACGATATGATTCTTTTAGCTAGTCGTACCGGTATGACAAGTGTTACTGAAAAGCCTGAGAAAATAAACGCCTTGCAAATAATAGAAGTAATAAAAATCACAGGTTTTAAGTTTCTGTTTTAATATATCACTGTAGTATATAAACCCAAATTCATGACCGTTTTATTACTTACACCCATTGTGATTGATTAAGACAGAAGACAGCTTTCTCAAGCTTAAACCAAGCATCAAAATTGGTAGGACATGCTTGTTGGTGCTAAGCAGGTTGGTGTAAGCATGTTAGAAACTGCTGATCTGCTCTGTGTTTGTACTCACGTCAACTGTCTGGTTTACAGAGAATGAGCAGAGAAAGAGAATATATCCAGTGTTCAACGAATGAATGGAAATGTCCAATAATCGTATAAGAACAAACGGACCGTACAGGTTTGGGGTGACAGGAATCCAAACTGCTTGTTAAAACCAAAATATGGAGAATACCTAATCTGAACGCACACTAACCTTGAAGGAGATGAGGTATAGCAGCAGAATATCACACCTGGTGTCATTCCTTTCTGGGAGGAAGGATAAAATTCACACAGTCTCCCCAAAGTTGGTCAGCGACAGATTGTAAAAGAAATATCGCCTGGTCTAGCCTGTCTCAATTTTAGGTGGTAGAGTCAGAATTTGGCAGTTACAACTTAAAAGCATCAGTCCTGCCTTTTCTCAGTCGATTAAGTTGTTTTTGTTGGTGGAGTTCGGTGGAGGCTTTCTCGGCAGACTTTAGGATTTGTGGAGTTGGGCTCGTTTGTACCAACTAAACATCATTTAAACCGCAATTTAACTGAGTACTATGGCTAACCTTCACGCCTATCTTTCGATGACTATTTCTAGCAGGATAATTCACCATATTATTTTACTTAAATCCTCTCAAACTGCTGTCTTGGTCATGTTAATGAGTTTACTGTACTCACTCTCACCAGATCTCAAACCAGTAAAGCACCTTGGAATGTAGTTGAACGTTTTACATTAAAGATGTGCAGCCAGAAAATCTGATGCAGCTCCAGGAAGATGATGGTCACAGTTGACCAAAATCTTCAAGAAATATTTCAGACACCTTGCTGCACCTAACCCACAAAAAAATTGAGGTAGTTCTATACGCAAAAACAGGTCCGATTTAATACTAACAAGGTGTACAAAATTTCATTCCAGAGGAACGTTAAGACCGACTGAGCCGTGTTTTCAATAGAACCTTTGAGGTGCCCGTATAAGATCAGCCCAAATTTGTTTTCGAGTGCTGCTGGAGTTGAGTGCAGGAAATGACCTGGGGACTTCCTTATTGTTGGTCAATTCCAAACCCATGAATGGACATTCAGGGATTTGTATGTGTGCTCAAACACTCGACTACAGTAGCCATCCTGTTGTAGGTTTTTTGATTGTCCAACGCTGGCGCTAAGGTGTAAAATGTTGAGCGTACACAATGATAACGTATTCCGTCACACAAAGTTTCATTTACCTTAGATTACTGCCACTACTTATCAACGTTTGAGCTTTAGTTCGATTTGAAAAGAGTCCGGACTTCTTTGAGGGCACTTGACTTTCTGGGAAAAAAAAAGTCTTTCCTGCTTCTAGCTTTTGAGTGCTCTCAGATGTAGCCAAGTTAATTAGCACTCAGGCAAGTGGCACATGCTCTCACATTCCTATTGGGTCATAAAGATGTTTACCAAACCCTTCTGAGGTTAGCAAACAAAGGCATTTAAAGGCAAGTATGAGGAAAACCTTTTTTTTTTCTTGGCTGATAGAGTAATGAAAGTTCTTTACTGAGGTTTTTGTTATAGGTGTAGATGGAATTCACAATAAAAGACCCGCCACTGAGCAGCCCTTGCTTGTGTATGTGAGAACTTGCTGCTAACAAGACTTTAA